ACGGTTGGACGTGATGATCTTAAAGGTCTTTTCCAACCTTAATGATTCTATGAACAGAGAAACTTCTGTTCTAGTAAAATTAAAATGTGTAAGACAGTCCTTCACTTTGAGTTTGGCTTCTGTGAAATCCTTGGCCCATGATGCCCTGGCCCTCCAGCATTTAAGAAATGTTACAATGAATAAATCGAGCCTGTCCTGGCATAGGAGGGCTATTATTCTCAGCTAGCTGGAAGCACACCTTTCCCAAGGTAAATACTCACATTCATACTAATGTCAAATAGGACAGCAATTTTCTCATGTCCTAGCAAGCCCTGTAGCAATTCAGCTGAAATTCAGTTCAGAGGGTGGTCAAGAAAGAGCCTGCAGATGGAGTGAGTTGCTTGTAAAAGGTAGGAGAGAACAGCCAGACCAACTACGTCTTACAGGCTCCATATCCTGATACTAAACATTGCTGCCCAGGACCATAGCATCCCTTTCACAGACAGTGGCAGTAATAAAAAGGACAAGGACTGGTTAAGTTTATCTTGGGGAAGATGTAAATGGGATTTATCATCTGTTATATCCTTCTCCCCTAGATGAGGTTTAAGCAGAGAGAAATGTGGTTTGATAGCCCTGCATTATTCCTGCCTAAATAGAAGATTATTCATGTGATGTTAATTGAGTATCAATACCACCATGGATGACAGCGCTGATACTCCACATATGTAAAGCAAAATAATCCCATCAACTTCCCCCTGCTCAACAAGTGCTTTGCTAACACAGCAGACATTTGCTCCTAGTAAAGGAGACCCAAGACTTTAGCAGTTCTCTGAAAGTAATGTTTTTAATTTCTTTCATCCAGGACAACTCTGGTAAATACTCATAAAGCTTGAGTCACTAAAAAACTGTTGCTGTGACAGTTTGATGCATTATTCAGTCAGCAGCATTTAATCTCCAGACAAGTTTATTCTTTACACACCTTTTTCTAATTAGTATTTCCATTTTTGTGTAGAACTCCAAAATTCAGAACAGGACATAATACACTAAGCTTAAATATGTATTTATTTTTATCCATTACAATGTCAGAAAATGCTGACAATGTGTCAATCCAGCTGAAACCACAAAGCACTCATATCTGAAGGTTTTATACATGAGAGACTTCACGATTTTTCTCATTGTGTCCAGCTTTCATTTTCACAAGAAAGATTGAAACAAACACACAGAATCTTTCAGAGTCATTTTTTCATCTATATTTAGGTAGCAGTTAGCACTTTCAGACTGCTGAGTAAAAGGCTCCAAAAGCAAGTTATTAGTCATGATTATTACAGTTGCGGTCCTGCATAGGGCTTGCATTAGATCACTAGCGTTTGCACGAGGCTGTGTTTAGCACAGCTACTACAGGCTTTGGTATCTCCTACCATCTGACTGTATCTGAAAAAGAAATAATACTGCTAAAGTCTCCATGCCCTACTAACACAAGTTAGGGAGGTTTCACTGGCTTTAGCTGAGGCTCTGTCCAGTGGTTTGCAGATGCAGAGTGACCCTTAGTGATTCCAAACCAGCAGAGTATCAGAAAACCTCGTTTATTACATTCTTTCTATAAAAGATGTGAACAGAACTTCTGTTCCAACAAGCTGTAAATTTTGTAATACAAGGCTTTTATGTGCAGGAGAAATTGGTTTCTGCTTGGTTAAGAGCACCTGCCTCACTTGCTATGTAAAATTTTGACACATGTGCTATGTTGAACAGTTCTATTCTTCTAGAGTCTCTGCGTAAAGCTTTGATTAAATAAGGATGTGGCACATTGTAAACGCTAACTTCTTTTTGAAATCTGAAACAAGTGCTGTGGCTTTCAGAATTCAAAGCATTGAGCATTGCCTTAATAGCTGTGTCAACCCCAAAGCACAAAGCAGCAGTATAATGAGTCTTACAACATTCATGTTTTCCCTTAGCTCTACAAAGCTCACATGCGATGACTGGAAAGTCCCCTTAGTGCAGCTAATCCAGATCTTTGGCTAGGAAAGAGAAGCACTTCTGCCCACGGGCCTTCCCCCTGCTGCACGCCTGG